CCTAGGGTGCCCTATGGGGTAGTTCCGTCCTATTTTTTAGGGTTGCTATGAGTCAGAATTGACTCAAAGGCAACATTTTTCCTCGGTTTGGATTGGATACATTGATGAAAAGACCTTGATATTCTGTAGTGCGTAAGCTGGAAGACTTGAATCAGTAATTGAAGTCTTTGAGAATGTTCTTTACATCTTCACATGGAACTACTTAAAAATTGACAGTATCTTATGAGATCACACCAGGCATTTGAGAAATTAATTATCAAAGATGCTGTGCACCAAGGCCATTTCTTCCCATCCCCTCCGTTTCCACATGTCAAAGTCTTAAACGAGATCAGAAGTTGTGTGAAGATGAGAGGAAGGAATCAATTAAGTCAGCATCATAATGAAAGCCGCCAGGGGACTAACGGGGGACCCCTTTGTGATGGCCGGGTTCTATCCCTTTGTCCCTTGCTATTCTGTCTCTTCAACTTGGCCAGCTCTGGTGTCTGCGCTTCTGGCTTCCCATGCGGAGCCGCGGCTTGCTGCCTTCTGCCATGGTGAGTTCTGTCTCCCACACAACACTGCTAGCATTTCTCTGAAGACGGCTATCTGATCAACCCAAATGGGCCGTTCCATGAGGTTAGAAGAGATTAGAGATGATGATAGAATGCTTCCTATCAGCGCGGAGACGAGATGCCAAATAAGAGTGTGTGTAATGTTCCTTCTCATGCAGGGCACTTTAAACTAGGCAAGAAGACGGTTTGGCACCAGCCCAGCCTACCTTTCCGTCTTTACTGTCACCTCTAGCTCCTTCAGCCTCACAGAGTTCTGGAAGTCAGATCAACCCAGGGCAAAAGAGGCTATGGGGTGAAATGAAGAAAAGAAAATGAAATCCTCTCAAAGGGTCAGGGTGGTATCATGGATATCTTGGTGAACCACAGAGCAAAGCAATTAAGCATCGTTTTCACGGACACATGTTGAAGGCTTCTTCATGTACCCCCATGTTACATTAATGAAAAAAAACCGAAGTGTAACAGTAGGGGCTTGGGTTCTGTCTTCTGATTTCATGGGAGAGGTAGGAATCAGGCTCTGTTACTGTTTTTAAGTGCCCTTGAGTTGATTCTGACCCATAACACCCCTGTCTAGAGTGTCCGAGGAGTGGTTGGTAAGTTTGAACCACCGACCTTGGGTTCAAACTGACCTTCAGATCGAGTACTTATCCAATAACGCCACACCAGACCCTAGTGTTTTAGAACCTATGGGTTAACTAAAGTGTGCTGCCGCCATAGGATGAGCACTCCACCTCAAATCAATTTGAACTGTAAGGTCAGCAGTTCAAACCCACCAGCTGCTCCTTGGAAACCCTATACAGGGCCACTATGACTAGGAACCGACTTGCCGGCACTTAACAACAACAACAACAACAACGAAGGGAATCAAGAAGTTCCTGTGTGGTACAAATGGTTAATATATTTGGCGACTAGCCAAAAGGTTGGAGATTTGAGGTAATTCAGAGACACCTTAAAGGAAAAGCTGAGGGATCTACTTCTGAAAAACCAGTCATTAAAACTAACAGTGTGGGGACAGGTCTCCTCTGACACACACACGGGGTACCATGAGTGGGATCTACTTCTGAAAAACCAGTCATTAAAACTAACAATGTGGACACAGTTCTCCTCTGACACACGAGGCACCATGAGTGGGATCTACTTCTGAAAAACCAGTCATTAAAACTAACAATGTGGACACAGTTCTCCTCTGACACACAGGACACCATGAGTGGGATCTACTTATGAAAACTCATCCACTGAGAACCCTGTGGAGCACAGTTCTACTCTGACACACA